CTTACGGATGCTCCTCCAATTGACAAACAGCATCTATTTTCAGAAAACCCAGCATTAAGACATTTTTGGTTGTGTTTCCCACAGCTCGTTCTGACTAATGTTATCTTCTATACGTGGAAAGATGAGAGCGGTAACCGGTCCCTCCTACTGGTACCAAACAAATTGAAAAGAGTAGTTTTAGAGCTTTGCCACAATTCAGTTGTTGCAGGCCATCCAGGGTTTCATCGGACGCTTAGTCGCGTGAAGCAGCATTTTTACTGGTACTCTATGAGGAAAGAATCACGTTGTTGCTTGTCCACAGTGTTCTGTTCACAAGAAATCATCTCACTCACACGTTTCTGGCTTGCAAGAATACCGTGCAGGATCGCCACTAGATCGAGTCCAACTCGATATCCTAGGGCTCTTCCCAGAGTCAAGGAAAGGTAACCGATATATTCTAGTACTGGTTGATCAGTTCACCAAGTGGACCGAGGCCTACCCCTTACCTGACCAAACTGCCGAATCAGTAGCTAGAACATTCGTAAATGAATTCATCTCCCGATTTGGAGTTCCACTAGAGGTTCATACGGAGAGAGAGAGAGAGAGAAATGGGGTTTAACGTCCACTCGACACAAACTAGGTCATTTCGGGACTAACATATGGTTTAATTTTATTTCAATAATTCGCTTGCGCATAGGGGTCTTTAGCATTGGGAGGAAACCGGAGGACCAGGAGAAAACCCACGAGGTTGGACAGGCGACCCTACTACTTGTCACGTACAACCGGGGATTCGAAACCACGCCAGTTGACTCAATGACAGACTTTATGATACAGCGCGCGCACGCTAACCATTCAGCCATCCAACCCCCCAGGTTCATACGGACCAGGGACGTAATTTTGATAGCGATATGATGAAGCGACATGGCCAATTGTTGGGTTGGGCCAAGACAAGGACGACGCCCTACCACCCCAGCTCTAATGGACTAATGGAGCGGTTTAATCGCACATTATTACAAATGATACGATGTTATATTGACCGTCAGGACGAGTGGGATGAGTATATCCCACTTTTAACTAGTGCGTATCGCAGTACTCCCCACACCAGTACCAGTTTAACACCAAACCAACTAATGCTTGGCCGGGAAGTTCGATTACCACAGGAATTGATATTTGGATTGATTGATCATAAAAACAACTCAACGAATGACTATGTGGAGAACCTTAGATCATCAATCGAAGAAACCCATGGGATAGCCCGTAAAAACCTAAAGAGATCAGCTGTAGGACAGAAGCGTCTCCATGACCTGCAAATAAACCAGAAAACGTATGAAGTTGGTGACATAGTCTACATTTTGGACACAGCCAGAAGAGTGGGTAAAAGTCCGAAACTCCAAGCACAGTGGAAAGGGCCAGCTGTCATCACACGAGTTCTTGGACCTGTTCTGTTTGAAGTTGCTCATCATAAGAAGCGGACTGTTTACCACCATGACCGTTTGAAACGATGTACTCTTGAAAGTACTCCAATTTGGATCAATAAATTGCGACGTCAAGTTCGTGTAGACATAACATTGCAATCAGATGATGTTGATCTTGTTGATGGTGGTACAACATCTACAGAGGATGATTTAACAACATCAACATCACCAGTTATCAGCGAACCTGCCATAAACGACTCTACGTTTCAAGGCTCCGTTGAATCGGCAGATTGGCTTGGGATACTGGATCCTGGTAGGTCTGCTGAGTCAACCGACTCCCAACACCAACTGCCTCCCGACCCAAAGCTACCAGATACCAGATTTTCGCGTACCGGACGACCAATAAAGAAGCCGGCTAAATACAACGATGTATAACCTGTTCAGTGATTTTGTGATTGAAAACTTTAAATGGGGAATCTTGTGTACATCAGTGTAATTAAAACTCTAAAAATTAAGGGGGGAATAGTGTAGTGTCACAGTAGTTCATGTTCCCTTACTAATCCGTAGGTTACTTCCAGTTCCTATTCTCTTACCGATCCGTAACGAATTGCCTGTAATTTGATTAGTAGAAGTAAAGATTTCAACGAGAACAGACGTCTTGTTGTTTCTGCTCCTCTACTCACCGCTGTCTCAGCTAGAATAGCTAGTATCTTCGTGGTTCCCATTAATTAGACCTGCGCCTCTAGAATAACAGCGACCACGGCATCACAGTATGCTTCAACTTCCAAAATATGCCCTTGAATACTAATCTCAAATCGAATAAAATACGAAGAAACTAAATAATTTCCATTACCCATACGAAACTTTAGGGCCTTGTTTAACTTATTTACAGGCAAATTATTAAGATAAGGCGAAGAATGAATAACTGACGATGAAATAAGTGATCTTGATGCGCCACTATCAAAAAGAATTAATGCAGGTTTTCTATCATGAAAGCTGCCTTTACAATAGTTGCGTTTATCCAACTTAATAACAACTGGTTTTGAATTAGCTTCAGGGAACTCACGAGGAGCAGAATCACAAGTTCCCTTATTCAAAAATCCTGACCAGCATTGTCAGATCTTTTAGGTTGTCTATTACGTCTGCAGGACAACTCACGTTCACGCTGAAAACAGTTGCGCCATGTGTGGTTTGGTTTAAGGCAAAATTCACAGAATAGTCTTCTTCTGTAAGAATGTGAAGAACGGCTATTAAAAGAATCATATTGTTTTCGATAATAATTCCGTGAAGAACGGTGATCAAAAGAACCACGAGTTTGGCGATGATTATTATCTGGACTCGGATCACGTTTATATGTATCGCGTGTAACACCTTTTGAACGAAAATCTATATGTGGTTTATTAGGCGATTTGTAACCTGATTTGGGCATGTTTGAAGAATTAATCTCCAAAGATTGCAATTCATTATGAAGTAAGTCTACTTCAGAATTCGAAAAAGTTACCTCTTTCAGTTTTGAAACATCGAAAAAACATTGAACCTTTTGCAGTATTCTGTCAATCGGAACATTGTCATTTAAAGACATCACCACGGCTTGACGACATTGTTCTGGCAATATAGAAATATACTTATGTCTGATTTGCTGATCCCTAAAACCCAAATGGCTGGATAACTTTTGTAAATTTTTAAATTTTCTTGAGCAGAAATTTGCATATCATAGGTGAAATTCTGAGAAGCTTGGTGTAAAGAGAATGATGTTTTAGTTTCAGAAAATCTATTTATAAATGTAGATTTTAGATCTTCTAAATGGCGAAAAACTTTTCATTCGATCCAAAGTCTAGCTGAACCTTTAAGAGTTTGTTTAAACCTCACTAATAATTGTGTCATTTCTTGCACAGTCGTTTCTGTATTGAGATTATTGGCCTCTTAAGTTATCAATTAACGACAGAAAATGGGCAGAGGCTTTATCTCTGGATAGGGTTGTGCCCTCAAATCTACCCGATGAATTACATGTAGCCATGATTGTGAAATTAGAACCAGTTAGAAAAGGCCTATTAACGTTATAGAAAAACAAACCATGTGTGATGAAGAACATGAACAAAATTATTACCTTAATTAAATTCTAGGCAATCATAATACTGAAAATGCTAAATTATATTAATTATGAGACATCATTACTGCAAAATTAAGAAATGGTTTGGTAATAATAATCAACATATTAAATTTACTATCTTGCAAAACATAATCCTATGCATATTAATTACCGTATGACTATGACTAGAATACAAAATTTCCCATACACACACTTTCAAAGGAATATCAAAATGGTAAATTCACAATAGTTCAATATTCAATGTTAAAATGAAAACACTGTCTTAATTATCAATAATTTCTGTCGAATAGGCTAGGCCTAATATTTGTAGTTTAGTCTCAGATATATCATCAGTTAAAAATTCACACAGTAGGCCTAGTAGTAGGCCGGTCTACACCACTGGACTTCAACAAACCAAAACTAAAAAAAATGTTAGTTCTACAATGCAGTTATCACACACTCTGGAGGCTCTAAATTTTCTTCAAAATGTTTGGCTTGTGGGCCCTAAGCTCCATATGAAGAAATTTCAGGTTACAAGTTTTGAAAAAGGCACATGTGGTCATGATTTTTGACAGCTTTTCGTGTTCTCGACTTGTCACATCATCTATTCTAATAAATGGCAAACTTCCATTTTGCAAAAAAAATCACTGAATTACTGGAACACGTGTTCATTGTAGTGGAACACTATTTAACACTCAAAATCAGGAACACCTACTAACTAGCTTTAGGCCCTAGGCCTTTCAGTTTCAAATTTAAGCCTTAATAATTTAGTCTAGGCAAAAATGATGTCAAATTTGATTTCTTGGAGTGCTTTGGCTAAATTCAACAATAATTTGACTACAATTTCACAGTTTTTAACAAAATTAGCCAAACTGAATATTTAAGAAAAATGTCACTCATTGTGTCAGTTTTCACTGTGGCTGTATTTTTGGTGAATCCTCCATATTTTTAACAAATATCAGCTACTTTTGTGGATGAAACTCTGGTTTGGCGTCTCCACCATGCTCTGTGGGGGGTAGTTCTTTGGTTCACCATGGATGGCATGGATTAAAGTATATTGAAGCTAAAAACCACATGTAAGATAGGCCATGTTTTATTCAACCTCTCTAAGTACAAAAGATCCCACATATGGGAGATAACTCCCAAAGACTCCAATAAAGAACAAAGGGGAGAGAACTCTTCCATGAAAGGTGACATTACTATATGACAATAATTCTATAACCCTGTCACATTTGCTTGTGATAATAATAATAATAATAACGGTTTATTCACAACTACATGTACAAGCATGAGTATGGAAGTTATAACAAACATTTCACATTGTGATGCATAACAATATCTATCTACATGTCTTACAAACTAACATTAATTTTCAAGATGATGTATGGTAGAAAACCTCCCAACATAGTCTTGGAACATAGCCTTGGTTACCAAGATGTCTAAAATGTACCAGTTTTAGATGTCGAGACTACAAATCATGACATTAAACCCCATTTCTCACCCTCTTTTCTCTTTAGAGTGCGGTAAGCCGTCCAGTTCTGTTTTGGTACGAAATAAACAGGGAATTCCTGTAAGAGGTCAGTGGCCGTGGCAGGCCAGTATATATTGGAAAACTGATGGTCACTTAGAACTTAAGTGTGGAGGATTTCTGATATATGATGAATGGATTGTTACAGATGCTCATTGTGTCACAAATGGTAGGTTGATAGTTGCAAAATATTTTGTAGGTTTTAAACTATCAGTACATCTAGAGATTACTTTGGTCAACAAAGAAGTTTTCCTTTCAGATAAGCTGCTGTTGAGATATAGCATTGCTTTGCCTATAATTTACTAAAGCTAAAAGTTTTTGTAGGGATGAGGGATAAAATAAAAAAATTTAAGAATTAGTTAAAGGGACTATCCCGATTTCAAGAGAGTCACAAAAATAAAAGTCGGAGTACGTATTAAATTTAACCTCCAAAATATAGAGGAATGGTGGATTTACCATCTTTCAAAATTCCAGCTCAAAATATTGAGTCGTTTGGACGTGAACGTCAAAACTGCTTTTACGGACACGTAACCCTTTTAAGATTTTGGGTTATTTTTTCGTTGGGTGATCTGATAATCGATTTCCGTTCCTTGAGAGGTCTTTATAGTGAATGACCCATGTGCTGTACTTGATAACGAAAGGTAAATTTCACCTACACATTATTTTTGTAAAATAAATGTCTGGTAAGTTGTTTTAAAACATATCACAGATATTGAGTTAGTTGCTCGGCCCTAAGGTATGGTATTTTAAGGGATTTTAAAACAAAATAAAGCAGTTTTATTCTCCAAGAAATATCGGGATTAGCCCTTTAAGACAACAGTTATTTACTCCTGTGAAAAGCCAATATGTGTCATATCGTTGACACAGAATTTATTTTTTGTTTACACTGTAAATTCCCAAATTGAAAAAATCACCTCAAATGAAATCTTAATAGAAAGCCTAAAATTGTGTTTTTTTTCACCATTTTAGCGAAAAGCGAAAATCCAAAGGACGAAGACGTTATCGTAAGTTTAGGTCACGTAGAAAAACAAGATGTAAAGGCACCAGACTTACAGGTAAAACTGATTGGCTAATCTACTAATATTTATGGAAGCATTTGTAAAATCTTTGAATTTAATTATTGATGAAATTATACTACATGTATATAATACTTTGGTACAAGTAAAGTGGTATCGCTGTTTTCTTTAGATGTGTTATGAACTCAAATTCTGAAATTCTGTATTAAAGACATCAGTTGTTAGTGTGGTAAGAGGACCCCTATTCATTAAGATCCAGTGATCATTTGTGGCGATCGTTGCATTTTTCTTTTGTTGTTAAAATGTCAATGTTTCGTTTTTTTCAAAGGTTAACACAATTTATCCCCACCCAGACTATGATTTTGAAACATATGAGTCGGACATTGCATTGATTAAATTAAAGAAAACTGTGAAATTTAACAGATGGATCCGTCCAGTTTGTCTTCCAAAGAGCTACAATGCAAGTTCCAATATGACAGGTGTTGAGGGCGTATTCACTGGTTGGGGTGGCAGATTACCACACCTGAAAATGACTAAAGTCCGCATCATTGGTCAAGAAGTTTGTAGACAGTTTTATAAAGGTATTTTATAAAAATGTTTATGATTTATAATTCAAGTCAAATAGTTGCTAGTTACTACTTTGTCATAGGAACACTGAATTACTTTACCTGGTTCCCCTCCTTGGTGAATTAAACCCTCATACTAATACACAAATTTGTGTTTATGGACTTAAATTTGATTGCCCTTAAGGATTTATGGTACTATATTTTATTGTTGATTTAAGGTTGTGGAGACAGGGGGTGCACAAAGTGGGAGTTTCTGTATATAGGACTTATAAGCTTTGTTGTCATACTTTACCATTTTCAGTTATTTGAGATTCATTAGGTGTGGGTTAAAGGTCGTACAGTATCAATAGATTGATTACTCAATGTTTTGCTCCAGACCTTTAAAATACAGATACACTATCCCACACATGAATTTCAATGAAATCATGAAGCAAATGTGAGTCCAATATCTTACCACATAGGTATTTTTAATTATGCAGAAGTTATTTAAATATACATTATGTAAGATTTAGATAAAGAGCTAGCCATTCTTGCTCTAATAGGTCGAAAATAGATAATGTAAAATGAATAATTTGAAAATTTCATTTCAATTACTCTATTGCAAACGACGATATTAGCCTTTGAAGGTTTGACAAGGAGTGTGCAATAATTTCAACCACCATACTGGTTGTTCGAAGCTAAGTCCCGCTCCTCCAATTTTAAATTAAATCAAAATATGGCTGGACTGCTCTAATCTATTTAATATCGGAGAAATCCAATGCCATTGAGACATGATTATGGCCTGGGTCAGTTAATTAATGTCTAATTAATAACTTAGAAAACATTTCAGGCCTAATGAAAGACCTGCAATTGGCAAATTTAGCTCTTGCATAATGTATGTTTAATTATTTTCAGTATACTAGATACACAAATTTGTGATTACCGTAACAGCATTTTGTCATGTGAATGAAACTGACTACATTATAATTTTACTCTTTTTTACACCTATATTTAGAACGGAAAATTGATCTGGCAAGTGATAATCAATTCTGTGCAAGGGTAGTAGTGAGTAATCGATCTGATGCCTGTAGGGGTGATTCTGGTGGACCTTTAGTGATACAAGGTAATTACAAAAAATGAAATGAAATGGGGTGTAATGTCTTACTTTTCTGAACCGAATGAGCTAATGAGAGAGAGAGAGAAATGGGGTTTAACGTCCACTCGACACAAACCAGGTCATTTCAGGACTAACATATGGTTTAATTTTATTTACATAATTTGCTTGCGCGTAGGGGTCTTTAGCAGTGGGAGGAAACCGGAGGACCCGGAGAAAACCCACGAGGTTGGACAGGCGACCCTACTCCTTGCCACGTACAACCGGGGATTCGAAACCACGCCAGTCGACTCAATGACAGACTTTATGATACAGCGCACGCACGCTAACCATTCAGCCATCCAACCCCCCCATGAGCTAATGAAGGCAGGCTGATGCAATACGTGTGCTATAAGGCAAACTTTGCCCAGACAGTGGCACCACGGCCTACATTTATTTAGAATTTCAATTGTCAAGGGTTCTTTTACATGCACAACAATGTGTACACAGGATCCCTTATTTCTATCCCATCCAAACAAATAGACACTCTACTTGCCAGGCCCTTTGTCCTGCACCACTGGTAAGAGGAAACTGTGCTGGAAATCCAGAGGAACTTTCCCGGCCAACACCAGGAGAGATCTACTGGTTAGCGAGCCAGCGCAATATTCATTGAGCCACATAAACATTCTAACACATGTTTTATGAGTATTAGCATAGACTTATGGATAGGGACCTTGGAGGCTGGGAAGGGGGTACAATTCTTGCCCAAATCTAATAATGATAATTGCCTGAAAAATCGTTATTAACTGCTGAAAAGGGGGTTATTTTGTCAAAAAGTGATGGCACACGAAATTTTTAAATTACATCAACAAATTTTTGAAGAATTATTTTGGTTGAATTATTCAGTAATTTGGCATGTATTTTAAAACTTATGGTCATTGCCTTGCACGTTTAATATTGTATATTTTAGACAAAGAAGGAAGGTGGCAAGCTATTGGAATGGTCAGCTGGGGAACAGGTGCATGTAATAGTACATCAGGAGATGTGGATGTTTATACACGTATACAGAATTTTATTAAATGGATCGGGCATATTACTGGCAAAGAAGCACCACCATGACAATACAAATAGAAGGGACAAACCTCTGGATAATCCTTTTTAGTCTGTACATCATGTAAAAAAGGATATTGGTTCTTCTGAAGTTAATAATATACTTTTTACAATATAAAATTTTGAGCATTGGATCTGCACTAATATACATATTGTTTTCTTGACTGATGCAAAAACTCGGTGAAACATGGATGATCAACTCTCAATTACAAAAGGGCTTCTCTGTATTCTAACCAAACAGTACCATTAATTCTCCACCCCCCCCCCCCCTACTGTGCAAATCAACTGTGTGACTCATGGATAAAAAAAATATAAACAAAAAAAAAATGAAGTAGTGTGTAGCCCAAATAAAATATTTATTTCCTGAACAATACAACAGTAAATATCGCCATATAAATTATCAATCTAATGTAACATTGTCATAGCTTTTACAAAATAAAATATATAATACTATAAAATGTTGATTTCAATGCATTGCACATTTTCATAAAGCACTCCCACATAGATTTTATATATAATCCAATAAGCATATAAAGGGGAGGTCCTCTCTCTGTCGCTCTCTCTCTCTCTCTATTATGTAAGAATTAGATAAAGATCTCACCGTTCTTGCTATAATAGTTCAAAAATAATGCTATAATGAAAAATGACTATCTATTTTATGGCCACAGTGTTCTAATCTACTTAATATCAGAGCCATCCGACGACCCAGTAAGTTGATTATGGGCTTGTCTTGTTAATAAATATTTGAAGCCAGAAAAAAAAACCTTCATCTTTAATAGATAAAAAGAATAATATAACGGGTATATGTATATAAAGCTATATTTACTACTGGTACATATATAAAATCAATATATATATAAAACATGAAATAAATAAAAACCAGCGGCTGCCAGGCAAGATACGCCCACAATTTCGAAAGATGGATAGAGAACAAGCTAAGAAGAAAGTGATTTTTCCTACAAACAAGGGTCATAATTCAGGAAATTACAATTCGATATGTGCAAATATCGAAAGGAATCGAGATCTTTGTGTTATAAACTTACATTTCAAGTTTCAACAAAATCGGATAAAAATTGTGACTTCTATAGGGTCCCACAACCTTGATATACCCTATTTTTACGCTATTTGAGAACGAACGGTGGCCATTTTGTCTTTCAATTTTGGGCCGATTTTCACGAAATTCGAACTCAGCCGTCCTTAGGGTGTATAATACGTTTTTTTTTAAATCGGATAAAAATTATGACCTCTATAGGGTCCACAAGCTAAAAACGCGATTATTCATACAATCAGGGGCCATATTTCAGGAAGTTACAGTCCGATATGTGCGAATATCGAAAGGAACCGAGATCTTTGGGTTATAAACTTATATTTCAAGTTTCATCAAAATAGGATTAAAATTGTGACCTCTATAGGGTTCACAACCTTGATGTATACCATATTTTTACGCTATTTGAGAACGAAGGGCGGCCATTTTATCTGTCAATTTTGGGCCGATTTTCACGAAATTTGAACTCAGTCGTCCTTAGGGTGTAATGGTGATATAATAATGACTTCTATAGGGTCCACAAGCTAAAAACGTGATTTTTCGTACAATCAGGGGCCATAATTCAGGAAGTTATGGTCTGATACATGCCAATACCGAAAGGAACTGAGATCTTAGGGAGATAAAGCTATATTTCAAGTTTCGTTGAAATTGAATAAAAATTGTGACCTGTAGAGTGTCCACAAACAAATTGTGGACGGACGGACAAACAGGGGCGACGACAATATACGTCCACATGAAAATGTGGGCGTATAAAAAACTCATGTAATATAGAACTGCAACCATACCATAACTAAGCAATGGATGCATAGAAACACATGATCTCTTAATGTGAAATCAAAATATTGTTTTTAATATCCAGAATTTAAATATGATAATCCTGGCATGATGTTTTAAATCAGAATTAATGGAGGCAGCCCTAGTTACAATTTGTAGATTGGATTTCACATACAAAATGAGATTCGATTGCACAAATAGATAGAATATAATGATGTATTGAAAGACCTTGCATAGAGTGCATTTATTATGAATTTCTGAAAATTAAAACTGCTGTGGTATAACATGTTTATTTAGTATCATTTCAAAAAACATATATTAATTAATAGATTGTTAACACTGGCATTCGTTACATCCTTTGGAATCAGTGTTATATTTTTGTGTTGTGTTTTTCTATTGTGCAGTTTTCCTGCCATGTTGTTTTTTTTTATCATAATACTTTCTAAACTATGAGATGCATCATTCACTAAAATTATCTTGAACACATCCATTTATTTTCATGGTATGAGTTTGTTTCAAATTATCACTTGATCTTTAACACATGAGTTTGTTTTCAAATAATCAATATTGTTTTGTTTTCAAATTTCAAATTATTACTTTATCTTCAACACATCAGTTTATTTTTTAAACATCAGTTTATCTTCAACTCATTGGTTTGTATTCCAATCATCACTTTATCATGACTTTTATCATCAATTCATCACTTTATCATGACTTTTATCATCAAATCATCACTTTTATCACCAAATCATCACTTTATCATCACTTTTATCATCAAATCATCACTTTATCATCAAATTATCACTTTATCTTCACTTTATCTTCAATTCATTACCTTATCTTTAAATTATTTCTCTATTTGAAATGATCAGTGGATCTTAATATTATCAGTATCTTCAAATCAGATCACAATATAAAACAGAAATGTTCCCACAGCCGCCCAATGACTGGCATAATTTAATTGTGACCATTTACTAAGAGTGTGGGACATAGTATAACCCTGAAAATATACAATGAGAAACAATAGTATAATATACTCGGAGACACAATAGTATTACATGTTAATCTAAAAAAGTTATCATGGAAATACAGCCTTTTTAAAACTATATTACAATTTTGTTTTTTTGTTTTTACCCTAAGTTGAGCACTACATTATTATCTAACCTACTTTCTATAAGCGATGTGTTCTATTAAACAGTGTCTCATTTATCAGTCATCTATACAATCTTGATTAAAACACAGATCCTAATTTGTTTCGTTTTTTATAGTTCAAAATTTACTTGTCTTCACTACACTAACATTATATAGACGATGAGAAAATATGTCAGATGTCAATGTAGTGCACGGTCAAAAATACTTCTGGAACTATCAATATTATGCCTTAACTGACACAGTCTGGCTTTCGAAATATTAATCAAGCAAGTCTGAACAACAGAAAGTCAACATTATTTTTCGAAATCATTTCACAATCTTACTAAAATTTTACTTACCATTTCCTCATCTGCGCTATTATCAAACATTAAACCAAGATAAGCCAGATGAAACATTGATAATAAAACAAAAGATAAATTCGTCAGCATTACGAAAGGATTCATCTGTAAATATCAACACAAAAAAATTATACATAGAATAAGTTGAACCGTGCATATAATTGATAATTCATGAAATGTGATGTAAGGGGGTTAAATTTCATGACTTCTTTGGTTGCCATACAACTCATCCAAATTTAGAAAAAATTTACGAGACATAGGAATTTAATTATTTGTTGAGAAATTACACAGAAGTGTATCTTTGTACAGGAAGATTTTAGACCAAAATTCTATGACCAATTGGTTATAAATATAACTTACTATTTGATATTTGTGATCACATTTTTCTTTACATCTTTTAGCTAAAATACAGGCATCAAAACTACTGGCTAGCTTTAATCTTAACACTGAAAAAGAAAACATGTTAAAGTAGCTAAGTCTCTTACTCAATATCATCCAAAATCTTCGATATTGAAAACACGATTTATTTGTCGGTTTAAATCAACTTTGATGTTGTGATCTTACCGGGAAAAGATGGCCTTCTGATATCTAATATTTAAGACAAAATAAACATTTTACAATTGGTACACGAATCGTGTACCATAATGCCTTTCAGCGCTATTTGTAATAAGGGACTCGAAAAATGAGGCTAGGCATATTCCACAAGTCATGTCAAACGGTGACGCTATATTCTTATCTGGAGAGCAAGCCCAATAAATAATATCGGCGTAGACTGGAATAACCAGATGCTAGAGATTGAGATTCGATTGAGAATACTGCCGTATTTCGCCGAACCTGACTGATTAAAAATCACAGTATAAACAGAAACGATTGAATGTAAATCAATTTATATACATTCATATTACATTATTGTATGCGTTGCAACCCATTTGTGTCAATTTCTAGGTCCCAAATATTAGCGACTTAGCTCCTTTAAATGTTGATAAAATGTCATTGAAATTGAATCTTTAAAGGTTTGAAGACTAGATGTTAAAGCATGTGCTTTATGTTTGTCAATCAATAACCAGAGACAAACAACATTTTAACTTCAGTCATAGAGTAAGTCATAGAGTATTAATGTTAATGATGTATTCATACATAGCATTCATCAGGGTTTGTTAACAAGAAATCTTCGATTACTTACTGAATTCAATATAAGAATAAAAGCCTAGAGACAATAAAACTGCAGCTAGCTGGAAATTTAGACCCTGAAAGAAATCCAAAAATATTTCTTGTATAACAAAACAAAAAAAATGTTCAATATCAAATTGTTTTGAAAAAAACATTAGAGCAAGTATCAATTATCAATTGTTAAGATTCCTGACATCTGTGACAATCTACACCGTTTTGAAGCCGCTACTGATAATTTTTTTGGACAGATTTGTAACCATGAATGAGACTTGGATTCATCACTTTCAACCAATGTCCAAAATTCAGTCTAAACAATGGAAGCATCCAGATTCGCCAGCCCCCCAAATAGCCAAGTCGGTTCCTTCCGCTGGAAAGGTGATGGAAGATATTATGCTGACCTACTGAGACAGTTGCGTGAAGCTATCAAAGCTAAGCAAAGGGGAATGTTCACTAAAGGCGACCTGTTCCAACTTACTCACCCGATTTGGCCCCGTCAAGCCTACCACCTGTTTTCAAAAATGAACTAGTCGGTCGTGACTTTCCTAGTAATGATGACATCATGTCAGCTGTGAACAACCTTTTTAGGGTGGCTGAAGAAATTTCTTCGTGACCAGCATCTAGGCCTTGCAACACCGTTAGCAAAAGTGTGTAAATCTCGAGGGGACTATGTAGAAAAATAAATGGAGACCATTGCTTTTGTACAGGGCTTTCACAGATAGGTTTAGAACTTTTCAGCCAGCCCTGTAGAATGTTATTTTATCATGTAAGGTACTTTCAGAGAATAAAATGTTAACATAAAATCAACTTACATGTAATAAAGAACTAGCACCATAAGTTAACAAGACAGCCACAAAATTACCAAGAGGTCTAGCTGTTTTAAATACATCTAAAATAAAATATAGGTTGCCAGGTAACTAAACATAAGCCCACATACATAGCAAAGATGTCCAAACAGCTATGAACTAAACAACACTTACAAATTTCAAAAAGATCAGATCATAATTGAAGCCTATAAGGTGCTAAGAAGATTTTGTAACAAAGGGGAATAACTCAGAAAGTTATCAGAAATCTCTGAAAATAAGTTCTTCCTTCTAATCAGACAGACAACAAAGACAGGTTAATAATCGTAGCCGATAGCTTAAAGTTTAAACAAGGTTTCATAACAAAGGGGTATAACTGTGAAGGTACAATTCAAAAACATTGAAAATCAATGGCTTTCAATGAGATAGACAATTGAACTCGTATCAATTTCAAAAAGATATATTGTTTATTCTAGTCTATCTTGTTCTTACAAGAAATGTGAATGTCAGATCGATGCTCGGACAGACAGGGGTGATGACAATATATGACCAGATTAAAGTTGCTTATCGATCCTAAGCCTAAGCAGAAAATTCTCATCATCAAACTTAGTCAAGGTAATGATATAATGAATTTATACTCGGAGTATCATCACTCTCACTTAATTAAAACCAAAGTTATTGGCCCTAAAGCATCAACCAATCAAACTGCTTATCTCTGCTTACCGTAAGCAGACAATGTTTTCATCGAACTCCATCAAGGCATTCACCTAATGAACGCCTACACCAAATTTGAACATTCTACCTCAACTAGAAGGAGAGTTATTGTGTTCCAAAGTCTTATCGATCTGCTTACCCTAAGCACAAAATGCTTATTATCGAACTTAGTCAAGGTATTGATGTGATAAAACTATACATCAAGTGTCCTCACTCTCACTTAATTAGAACTAAAGTTATCGCGTCCCAAAGCATCAACCAATCAAATTGCTTTATTATCTCTGCTTACCATAAGCAGAAAATTCTCATCTTCTAACTCCAAACTCAATCAAGGAATTCATCTAATAAACACCTACGTCAAGTGTGAACATTCTAGCTCAATTAGAAGGAGAGTTATTGTGTTCCAAAGTCTCGGCCAATCAAATTGCTTATCGCTCTGCTTACCCTGAACAGAAGTGCTCATTATCGAACTTAGTCAAGGTAATGATGTAATGAAACTATACACCAAGTTTCATCACTCTCACTTAATTAGAACTAAAGTTATCGTGTTCCAAAGCATCAAACAATCAAATTGCTTATCTCTGCTTACCCTAAGCAGAAAATGCTCATCTTCGGACTCCTTGAAGGCATTGACCTAATAAACACCTACACCAAATTTGAACATTTTAGCTCATTTAGAAAGAGAGTTATTCGGACGGACGGACGGACGACAGACAGACAGACAGACGAACCCATTTTAATAATCCCCTGCTTTCTTCAGGGGGACAATTAAAATAATACAGAATTATTATCATTTCAAATATATCAGTCATCTACATAAATTTTAATAAAATCAGGGGTATAATCCACACAGTCATCAGCAGCTGCATATGTTCCATGTTCGCCAAATACACTCATGAAAAACACAAGTCATTAAGGTGGATTTCGTAATAATGCAGGTTTCATTATAAGACTTGGGCAAGCAGTGCTCCTAACAACATAATATGATACTGAAGGCCTGCAGGGAAAATATCTAATACTTACATGTTTTTAACCAGGTATGCATGGGTAGATTCCAATTAGTTACAACTTCTACAAGTGAATGAGGTATTTCTATTTTATCTGGTCTTACAACAGAATAATCCCTGAAATATTATTTCTTATATTATTATACAGAGAAGGTATAATATAAAAATCAACTGATGATGGTAATATTTTTTATTCAGGGTTAAATCAAGAGGAAAAATAATTCCCCCCCCCCCCCCCCAAAAAAACATCTCACACAACTGTACCAAAATTGTCATATCTGTAGTTGGGACTTTTTATGGGCTAAATTGCTAATGTTTGGGATCTAGAATTCTACTCAAATGGGGCGCAACGCATAAATAATGTATTATGAATGTATATATAAACTGATTTCCATTCAATCGTTTCTGTTTTTACTGCAATTTCTAACCAGTTATGTTCGGCGAAATAAGACAGAAATCTCAATCGAATGGCAATCTCAAGCATCTGGTTATTCCAGTTTACACAAATAGTATTTATTGTGCATGCTCTCCAGATATGACTCACCGTTTGACATGACTTGTGGAATATGTCTAGCCTCGTTCTTTGAGTCCCTTGTTACAAATTGCACTGAAACGCATTATGGTACATGATTCGTGACCAATGGTAACATGTTTATTTTATCTTAAATATTGGATATCAGAAGCCTATCTTTTCCCCATAAGATCACAACATCAATACTGATTTAAATTGACAAATAATTCGTGTTTTCAATGTTGAAGACCTTGGGTGATATTGGGTTAGAGACATAGCTACTTTAAGGAGAAGTCCTTGATTTTATATGAAATCCAAAGAGGTTTTAATAAACTATTTTAAGCCGTCAAACCATAAAGGTGAAGGAATAGCCCAGTAACCTTGCCTAACAGTTTTGATTCAAATCTATCAGTCATTTGGAAATGACTGCTAAATTTTCTCAGTTGTAAAAATGTCTTTATAATCACAACAATCACTTACCACTATAACATTGGCAAGTTTATTACCCTTTGGGACTTATTGCCAACTACATATAAAAACCATAAGTTTGTATTTCTTTTAAAATAATTGTAATACACCTTTGGGTAGTTAAACAATCAGTTTTATTCATTAAATATGTCTAGGCCCGAAAAGAAAAGTAGGACATTAAACCTATTTCATTTCATTCCAAACATTTCTAGGACCGCACCTTCAAAAGTCTCTATAACATATATTTTTATGGGCATTTGCACAAATAATTTTGCCAGGACAGCACCTATATTCCTCAACATGATGTGCAACATTAAAAGCTTTTTGTATAAATATATGACATATCTTACCATTTAACGAAATCAGCTGTCTGTGTATAACCAAATCCTGATAATACATGGGTAGCCTCTGATAGAAAACATACAAAATAATGACTGAAGCGAAATGACTGGGCATCTCTATATGCTAATAACCAACTGAAACAGAAAGAAGAACAATAATAATGAAAGATGTTGAAATTATTTTCTGATTTTGTAAAATAATCATTTCAGTGATTTGGTTCCTCCAACTACTTCTGAAGAGTAATTACCGTAAAATTGTTTTTGGACTATTTTTTTTGTGGAATCAAAATCAAAGTACTGTTTAATAATTTTTTGTGTGTCACTTGAAAAAAAAAAAGTATTTGTAATAGACAACTGCGCAACAAGATACAGACAAAACAAATTTCATAATTTAAATGCAAACGGTCGAATATCCATGAATTGGTATTGAAAGTATTCAAATGAACAATAGCACAAAGTTTGATAACACTCCATCTGAGAACTTTGTTCTGTTTTGTTTTTCAAGTCAAAACATGGAAATATTAATCTGCAGAACATGTTCGAAATTTACTAGGTATCTAAAAATTTAGAAAATTGATAGGGTCCATTCTTATTGAATAATTCCAGAAAGTTTGAAACATTTCACCCAGAACTTTGTCCCAATAAAGCTTTCAAAAGTTTGACCATAAATAAGGGAGATAACTCACAATATGGAATCAAAATATTTAAAATTTCAAACAGGTTCTTCTTAATACCACCATAGGAACAATCCCTGGTGCCTTTACAAGAAACGTTTGTGTGAGTATAAAAATGAAAGATTAACCATAATTACCTAAATGAACCATGTATAATTAACCAGGAAGTAAAACATGTAGAATAAATTAAACACAGTACAGCTAAACTACAACTAAATAAAACTTTTATAATCCACCATTTACACTGTAATACAAAAACATTTAGTAATAAATGAAATGATAAAATTAGGTACCTTAATAAAAAATTAAAAGGCATATTCTCACTTCTTGCAGGCACAAATAGCTTGTTTTGCATTGTCAGTATTTATTCTACTCCCTGATACCCTGGGTTCATCCATGGGGTATTCACATATACAAATTATCTTGATTCTACGAACCAATCAAAAAACAGTTTACAAACCAGTTTTAGAATCATTGTTTACGTTCATAACAATATGGCAGCTTGTTTGCTTGATGAGAAAGTTTGCAAGAAATTTAATATAAAAGAAGTGACATGAACACAAATAGATGTTTTGATGGGCAAGATGGTTTTATGTCTGTCAAAACAGGCTATCAAGTGTATCCTGTTATTGGTCAATAAAAATAGCACAATCATCAAGGGCAGATAATTTGAATACATGTCTCCCCCATGGAAGAACCAAGGGGTTAGTTGAGTGGAATGGAATGAGACCACTGGAGATACAGAGGATGGTATTTATTTTGCCTAAAAGAGTTTGGTTGCATACTTACATGTGAATCATAAAATCTTTTTGTCAAAGGTTGTATGTTATTTTTATGTCTTTTGTTTCATATTAATTCATAGTATATTATTTGTCATTTTACAGTAGTCAAAAAGTAAATAATAATTTACATACCAATGGTTTATTTTCTTGTAAACCAGATATATAATCTTTATAACTAAACCATGGACCAAATATCACAGATCCCACATGTAAAGAATAACCACTAAATTCTAATATACTGGGTAATCTTTCTATAGCTCCTGATGACCAGTCAAAACCCAAGGATATAAGTTTCATTGATAATATCATTTGGGCACCTGTGAAAAAACAAATATTACTTGAATATTAATATTAAACTCAGTAATTGTGTATCTATAAAATTGTACCTTGTATTAATATCTTCAATTACTAAATGCCAATCAAAGAAAATATTAATAAACACAAACAAAATATAAAATCTACATTGAAAAGTACTTATCCAAATGAGGCAATGCTTTGCCATTTATATTTTCGAAACAGTAGCAAACAATGGTATTGGCACTATTAATGTTTTTCTTTAAGTCCCTCTTTTGCACATCATTGTGAACTCCAGAAAGAAATAGATAAGATCTTATCTACAAAAAAATAAAATGTTACCTCTCATACTATGCCAGATCTTTCCATCAACAATTATAAGTTCACTGCAACAAAAATAAACTTATACAAATATATATCACAAATGAAATGGTGCTTAAAGTTTAATGTTTTGTAAACACAATAATTTGGTCACTTTCAGACTAACCAAAGATATTAAATGATCTTATCTGTGCTTGGGAATTTTGTCATGGCAGCATTTGTCAAAGGAAGGACAGTAGTCCAGAAACAACATGCTGTACATGTACATGAAATTCATTACGATAGTGATATTGAGTTTTTTCTCATCTCGATAGATAATTATATATAGGCTTCAAGATGAAACCTTCAATCAGAAACACGACAACATATTCAAGCTTTCCAAAGACTGAAGTAGAAGACATATCCAACAATTCCTGAAGCCTTGGCTTGATGATTTAAAGATACATTAATATGAAAGATTTAGATAAAGAGCTGGCTATTCTTGCTTTAATAGTTTAAACAAGCCAACAGTGAGGCTGATGTCCCCCGCTGAAATCCCAAAATAAATAGATGACATATTAATTAATCGCACATTTATTTTTTTCAAAAGTATCGAGCAATCAAACTATACACTAAGTTTCATCATTCTCTATCTGATAGAATCACGATTATCTTGTCCCAAAGCATGCAGTCATCACTCTCACTTAATTAGAATTAAAGTTATCATGTCCCAAAGCATCAACCAATCAGATTGCTTATCTCTGTTTACCATAAGCAAACAATGTTCATCATCGAACTCTATCAAGGCATTCACCTAATGAACGGCTACACCAAGTTTGAACATTCTACCTCAATTAGAAGGAGAGTTATTGAGTTCCAAAGTCTCGACCAATCAAATTGCGTATCGCTCTGCTTACCCTGAGCAGAAAATGCTCATTATCAAACTTAGTCAAGGTATTACTGTAATGAAACTATACACCAAGTTTCATCAATCTCACTTAATTAGAACTAAAGTTATCGTGTCCCAAAGCATCAACCAATCAAATTGCTTATCTCTGCTTACCCTAAGCGGAAAATGCTCATCTTCGAACTCCATCAAGGCATTGACCTAATCAACACATACACCAAGTTTGAACATTCTAGCTCAATTAGGAAGAGAGTTATCGTGCCCCAAAGTATCAACCAATCAAATTGCTTATCTCTGCTTACCCTAAGCGGAAAATGCTCATCTTCGAACTCTATCAAGGCATTGACCTAATAAACACATACACCAAGTTTGAACATTCTAGCTCAATTAAAAGTTATCGTGTCCCAAAGCATCAACCAATCAAATTGCTTATCTCTGCTTACCCTAAGCGGAAAATGCTCATCTTCGAACTCCATCAAGGCATTGACCTAATCAACACATACACCAAGTTTGAACATTCTAGCCCAATTAGGAAGAGAGTAATCGTGTCCCAAAGCATCAACCAATCAAATTGCTTATCTCTGCTTACCCTAAGCAGAAAATGCTCATCTTCGAACTCCATCAAGGCATTGACCTAATAAACACATACACCAAGTTTGAACATTCTAGCTCAATTAGGAAGAGAGTTATTGTGTCCCAAAAAGTGTGACGGACAGACAGACGGACAGACGGACAGACAGACGGACGAACCCATTTTAATAGTCCCCTGCTTTCTTCGAAAGGCGGGGGACAAAAATTTACAATGAACAATGAATATATTGAATATTTTTGTCAAATAACTTTATTCACAGTGAAGTTTTGAATGTTTGAAGTTTCCATAAGATATCTCAGTCATTCGATAGTCCAGAGAGTTGATTATGGGCTTGTCATATGAATAGATGTAATACTAGAACACTTAGTATGGATTCAATCACTTGGTTTATTATACAGCAACGTTTCTATTATAAGTCAACTTCTAAATGCCTCTCAAGGATCATCAATAATTCGCTTGCGCGTAGGGTTGTGTAGCAGTGGGAGGAAACCAGAGAAAACCCACGAGATTGGACAGGCGACCCTACTCCTTGTCACATACAACTGGGGAATCGAAACCACGTCAGTTGACTCAATGACAGACTTATCCGCCATCCATCCCCCATGATTTATATAACATCTGAAACCCCCAAAATAAGCTCACTTACCACATTAAAATATAGGATGCAATAAAAACAGATACAAATATTCCCACTTGTGGTCGTGAAAACTGGGATGTTAATAGCACTATGATGTAAGTAGTAATTAAACAGGCTATGATATAAACTAATGCCATTTCAAAGAATCGATACAATATCATCAGTCCAAACACACAACTCACAAAATGTAAAAACTTTAATGGTGATGCACAATCTTTGAATACTGAAAGACAAGAAAAAGAGCATCTAATATATTTCTTACCATAATTATAACAGGTCAGAGAGCACAAGGAGTTACATAATTGCAACAAATTAATTGTTACAAACTAGTTGTTATAAATTGTACAACGGTACTGCCTCAGTATTTTTGATGTTTTTTTCTGTTCCCATTTATGAGGCTATTGGTTGGATTGAAAGTAAAATTAGTTTCTAAATACTCTCTTAAAACTATAATAAAATCCTGGACTCTTTGAAATAGTTACTTATGTCATAGCCCTAGTCGGATCCTGTACATAGCCTTTCAATCAATCCTATGGTGTTAAATGAAATGAAATGAAATGAAATGGGGTTTAACGTCCTACTGCTCTGTTCTGAACTGGGTTAATGAAGACGGGCATATGCCATGCAGTGTGCTATGAGGGTTATTTTGCCCGGACAGCGCCACTACGGCTTACTCGTATATCGAATTCCAACTGTCAAGGGATCTTTTACGTGCATGCCAATGTTTACACAGGACCTCGGTTTTTCGTACCATCCGAATGACTAGACAGCTGTCCTTGTCAGGCCCTCCGTTCTGCGCCACTGACAAGGGGAATCCACGCCGGAAAATCTGGATGAACTTTCTCGGCCAATGCAGGGACAGAACAGCCTATGATGTTACAGTATAACATGTTTATAGTAAATATAAATGTTTACCTGTATGTGCTAAGAGACAGAGGATTCTAAAAGATAAACAAAACATAAATAGAGGAATAACATGAGACATAGCTTGACTTGCTGTTGGTATAACACAATTCTCATACAGATTTCTTATAGGTATACGCTCATACACATCACTGTCATCATCAAAACCACCATATGATTCCAAAAGTTCTGCTAGTTCTGGACTATACTCCCCTTGTAAATACTGTTGTAGTAATTCATAGTCAGAATCATCCAGTTGGTCAGGATCAAAATCGAGCATGTCATCCATTTTGTTACCTTTCTGAAATAAAAGAGAAGTAAAATGGGGTTTAACGTAATACTTTTCTGCATCAACTGGGATAATGACGACAAGCATTTGCCATACAATGTGCTATGAAGAATATTTTGCTCAGGCTGCGTCACCACAGCCTACAAGGTAATTCGGTTTTTCATCCCATCCAAATGACTAGACACAGTTCCTTATCAGGTCCTCTGTCCTGCACCCTAAATTCCAGATGAAATTTCTCTGCCAACCCTGGTAGCAAACCAGGGACTTTACCATTAGGAAGTCAGTGTCGTTCTCACTGAGCTATAGAGAAGAAAAAAGAATATCAAAAACTCAGTTCTAACTTCAAAGATTTTCAATCTAATGATCAGTTCGACCTATAAGCTATACTGCACGCTAATTTTATAAAAATAGGTTGTCAGACACTGACATGCGCATAGCAATCAATACAGGTTGTCATACTGTAAATTTAATAGCCAAATACCACTGGAACATTGACAAGAGTCTAGATATACATAAATTCAATAACTGTGAGAGAGAGAGAGAGAGAGAGAGAGAGAGAGAGAGAGAAATGGGGTTTAAGGGCCACTCAGCACAAACTAGGTCATTTCGGGACTAACATATGGTTTAATTTTATTTACATAATTCGCTTGCGCGTAGGGGTCTTTAGCAGTGGGAGGAAACCGGAGGACCCGGAGAAAACCCACGAGGTTGGACAGGCGACCCTACTCCTTGCCACGTACAACCGGGAATTCGAAATCACGCCAGTCGACTCAATGACAGACTTTATGATACAGTGCGTTCACGCTAACCATTCAGCCATCCAACCCCCGTTCAATAACTGTGCATGTAGAGCTGATCATTAGAAATTGTTGAAATATAATATGCTTATTTATTTTACAGATCTGAACACTGAATATTAATTTTATACAGATCAATGTTGCTAGAGCTGTTAATAAGATTCTCTACAATAAGTAAGGCGGAAACTACTAGAAGAAATTAATAGGAATGATTGATATCTGATATGACTTATGAAGCGGGCATTCTCTTTCAAATTCACGAGACTCCACTCTTTCAGTACAATTGTCTCTTTTCGAAGTAATTTTCAGAACAACTATGTGGTTATACATGTATCATATATAATCTGATATTAAGAAATGGTACTGTCTAGATAGTGACAAGGAGTAGGGTCGCCTGTCCAACCTCGTGGGTTTTCTCTGCGTCCTCCGGTTTCCTCCCACTGCTAAAGACCCCTACGCGCAAGCGAATTATTGAAATAAAATAAAACCATATTAGTCCCGAAATGACCTAGTTTGTGTCGAGTGGACGTTAAACCCCATTTCTCTCTCTCTCTCTCCGTCTAGATAGGGTATGGTGTTGTTTGAAAATGCTAAAATAGGCTGTGGAAAACCCAAAAAGCAAATTTTAGGCCATCATAATATAACAAATAGACAATGAAGTAAAAAAAAAACTGCACAATAATAAAACACAGACACAACATTGTCCATTTAGAGACCAGATTTCTGGACAAACATGTTAATCTTTCGCCCCATGCTCATTATACAACTTACCACTACCATAGCCATGATTAAATATATTCTTTGTATGCTGGAAATTGAAAGCTTGACTTCCCATCACAATAATATGTGTCAAAGACAATTATCTATGCTACAAACTGTAGAACAAGTGGTTGTCAGACAAACAGTGTGAAAAACAATCATGGTGGCGATGGTGGTTATATAAAAGACACAGACCAGATTGTAATTGTTTATTACCAAATACATACCGGAGTATATAGGTTTATACAAAACAATAGTTTACAATAAAGTGGTGATGGCAGAGATGTACACTCAAATAAATATGTAGGACGTCTCTACAAACTAGATTTTAGTGCAAATGTACAAATTTTCCTAAATTATTTAACAATATAGAATTTTCATTATTCAGCAGTTCAATAAATTTAAACATTTTTTTTTTCCAATAGCATAACCTTCATGTGCCATATTGGACAGAGAGCGATACCGAATTCCAACTGTCAAGGTTTCTTTTACATGCACAGCATCTGAATAACAAGACAGGATTCTTGTCAGGCCTTCGTCCTGCACCGTTGACACGGGGAAACAAAGCAGAAAAATCCTGAGAAAGTTTTTTCGTTAACACCAGAAGCGAACCCAATACCTCCAGGCTAACAAGCCAGCGTCTTACTCACTGAGCCACCAAAAGGTTCCCTTGAAAAATGAAATCCTTAAACCTGTGATCAATGTATGATATGAATTGTTTTAGGTAAGGAATCCAAAGAGAAAGTATCAAAAATGGCTAGATAAACAATCTAGACTAAACCATGTATATCTCCATTCTTTGGAACTTTATGAATGTATTTTATTTAAGCAGTACCGTTTAACATTCATTTTTTTTTTTTTTAATATTTTGATTGTAATTCTAACCAGTTATATGTTCAGCGAAATATGTAAGCTATCCAAATTAAATGTCTGTTTCACTTTTCGACTAGATTTCTTTTTCGACATTTATAAGTTGAAACCGAACAATAGATCCATATTTATTTAGGCCCCTATTACCGGTGTATAAAAAAATAAATCATAATCTTAATCTTATTCTTAATCTATCTGATGACATGGACATGAGCTTATTTTATTAAAGTTTTTTATGGGTAGCGACATTATTTAATGATCAATACTTACATGTTAACATAAATACTTACTAAATTTCTAATTCCGAAGTCGAGAACTAATTAGATCTGTTCAATATTCTTGAATTCAGTAAAATAATAAACCAAACATACAACTTCTCATACACGCCGCCATTCTCATGGACAACTTTATGTTCTATTTTAAGGGTTGCAAATTGATATGTCAAAATCAATTGCGGTTGTTTCTCTGCCATTTTAACTGTTATTCTGTTAAATTGCTAGGATTTGGTATAAAATGGTAAATATATCATAAAATAAGTTTATGGTGATATGAAACGGAACCTTTGCGGTATTGTATTATATAGATACCCCCAAAATGGACGAGTCTATTTTTACAACAGTTACTTCCCTTTGAAAGTTGACATATAAGAGTTTCCCCCCCTTTATAATCTAGTAACAAACTAACTTTATGATGGGACACAATCACTAGTTTATTCTAAAAGCACGACGTTTCAACAAGTATCCTCTTATCGTTATCAAGCACAACGTCGTGCTTTTAGAATAAACTAGTGATTGTATCCCATAAAAACTGTGTTCTGTTAATTTGTTCCCTGATCGCTAAATGCCACTTAAAGAATAACTTTATGATGTCCGCCAATATTACAGATAGAATTGGTTAAACACATTCCAAATATAATTTTAACACAGACATCATTGCTAAAGTAGATACGTACCGGTAACGAAGATTTGAAGAAAGGGGAAGTGACGCAATACAAAGAAAACACGAGTTGAGTTTACCTTATAACTGACTGAAGAACTAAGAAGCGAGCGATAATGATATACCGTACGGTCGATTTTCAGCATTTGAAGTTGTTATATTAATTGCTACAGTAGATGCGTAACGATGATTTGAAGAAACGGGAAGGGGCGCAAATAAAAGGAAAACTCGAGTTTTCCATATAGTTATATAACTGACTGAAGTAGACAGCGATAATGTTCAGATAGGCCTATACGGTCGATTTTCAGCTCAATGATTATTCCTTTGAAGACGGAAAGTTATTAAATGAGACGGTGAGAGGATATATGTTCGAATCTAACAATTCATAAAAACAATTGACTGTCACTAGATAAGAGAAAGCGAGAAAATAGAAATAGTCCCAACTTACAATAATAGGACTAGTGTTTATTCCGGTACCCCTCTCAATAAACTAGTCATATAGGCCCATCATTATTATTTTGCAATTACTTTTGTCTCCGCCACGTGGATCACAAATCGCAATTTGGCATGCCCTCTAAAACCGCAGTTAGGAGATCTCAATTTATCAAATACTGCATTCATATTAATTCTCATTTTTGTAATTAAAATTCACTGAAAAATTATCTCTGGATTTGTGTGTAGCTACATCTGGTCAAATTTGAACAAATTCGCTTGTGTTCGGCAACTTCAAACCAGATAATTAATGTATATATATATGCAAAAGTAAAACAAATACTGGTTAGGTATGCGAACTCATAGCATGCAAGTGGCATGAGGTGTTTTGGAAAGGGTCACGTATCCCACCTCGTACACAACGCCGACCACTACTTTATAATCAGACGTTTATTTCAGAAACCGGGGCTACTATCCATCCGGCATTCTAAAATTTCCTTGAAATACCACATCCTCGAAAAAGAAAATTACAAAGGGGCTTAAAATGTGCAAATCAGGCCTGAAATCGAATCTGGATAGGCTACAAGTTTGCAATTATTTATGTTGTTGATGGCAAAGGAATATGGAAATCGCGCGTTTATATTGTCGCACGTAATCTACGTGGTGTAGCCTGTAAAACTCTAATTCATATGATTTTGCAATAATACACCGTTATGAATGTGCTTGTCTCTGGTTTTAAACCAATATGTTATGTTTCTATAGTAGCACACTACTCACCAGTAAATAGGCCAAGCGTTACTGAACAAACAGTAGGCATAAACCGTTTCCCCGGGACTAGTTCGCCGTGTGGCGATTTGTAATCGATGTGGCCGAGATAGTAGTAGCTTTAAAATGAAATGAAATGGGGTTTAACGTCCTACTGTTCTGCTCCTAACCTGGGCTAATGAAGACGGGCATACGCCATACAGTGTGCTATGAGGGAAATTTTGCCCGGGCAGCGGCGCTAAGGCCTACTCTTATGTCGAATTCCAACTGCCAAGGGATCTTTTACGTGCACGTCAATGTGTACACGGGACCTCGGTTTTTCGTCCCATCCGAACGACTAGACAGCTGTCCTTGTCAGGCCCTCCTTCCTGCATCACTGACAAGGGGAAACCACGCCGGAAAATCTGGATGAACTTTCTCGGCTAGTAGCTTTTAAGAAAAAAACAATAATAGTATGTCTATATTTGTACGGCTACCGGAATAATCGCTTAAAATGTGTAAGCAGAAAATGAATAAAACAAAGAATGCATGGGCTTTTTTCTATTTTTGTCGCTTTCTCTTATCTCGTGACAGTCAATTATTTTTATGAATTGTTAGTTTTGAACAGATATCCTCTCACAATCTAATACAGTGGTTCTCAACCTTTTTTTGCCAATGGAACACATGGAAAAATAGCGGCACACCTGGCTAAATATATATGAAAAATATTTGTATTTTGCAAAATGAAAACATGGCAAGTCATAGATGGCATACAGCCGTAGACACAGACTAGTTATAGCCACATAATGACCCAAACTAAATAAAGAAAAACACGAAAATGAAGTTACTTTAGCGCGGTGTTTCGAATTTCATCTGTCAAATAGATGGCTTCTTTAGTAAGAAATTCTTTTGGTGTGCCGTTTAAAATTTCGCGGCACACTTAGAAAGATCTTGCGGCACACGTGCGTTGCCACGGCACACTGGTTGAGAATCACTGATCTAATATAACAACTTCTCGTTTCGAAGGACTTATCAGTGAGCTGTATCTGTTATCGCTCGCTTCTTCAGTAGGTAAACTCGTGTTTTCTTTTATTTCCGTCACTTCCCAATTCTTCAAATCTTCGTTACGCATCTACCGAGCAATGATGTTTGTGTTAAAATTATATTTGGAATGATTTAAAGGCTCAATACCACTCCTGTAACTGAATAAAATGTCCCAATCTTTACAATATTCCAATTAATTGATGATACAAATTTCATCTTAACACACCTAATTTAAAAAATTGGAAAAATTCAACTAAATGATTTGAAAAGCCTAACGTAAACCTTTTCAAATGTGACTTGGATTTAAAAATATTTTCGAACCCTCTGGACAAGTAATATAGGATGTAATGGATAATTTACACAACAGTCAGGACACATAAACATCTAATACTTAGAAAAAGGCTATTATTTATTTTCTGGATCTGTCAAGCCAGCAAGAGTGTTATTGTCCCTTTAAACCAGTTCTATCACATGTAATATTGGCTGACACCAACGTAGTCCTTTAACAAACTCTATTCGCCGTAATAACCGAAATGAATTGGGGTTTAACATCCTAACGGACTAATGAAGACGGACATACGCCATACAGTGTGATATGAGGGAAATACAATTGTGCCCGAACAACGCCAGTGGATCTTTCGCCAATGTGTACACGTACGGACACAGGACCTCCAGGTTAGCGAGGAGCCAACGTCTTACTCACTGAGCCCCCCCCCCCCCCCCGCGCGTAATAACCGGCAGGATACATTAACTCATTAACAAAAATGACAACAGTTTCAATTTTTTTCTGAACCTTTAACCTTGCTCAGAATTGGAAAATTAAGTCACCTCGATGGTGTCTCTAATCTCCAGGAGTAATCTAAGGGCGAGTCCAATCCTGTTGCGCTTGACAGTTAGTAGGCTAGTCTACCTACTACTAAACTGTGAGTGAGAGACAGATATCGCTGAATTAAAAAGTAGTGCCCGATTTGCTCATTGTGTGGATGTGTCATCCGCCAACTCTCAGAAGGAGATGCTTGAGTTACGGAACTGGGCATGTCAGGCCCTGAAAAGTCCCCCAAACCTCTTTTGGTTAAAACATTCGCGAAAGTCAGCTACTCTATCTTGTTTACCACTCTTGTGTGTCCGCAAAATGTCCTATTTTCGAGTCAAAACGGTCACTTGACCCTCTTTAGGACCCTCTTATTCATGTATGTACAAATAGAAAGTATCTTGAATGTCATTTTCTCTCCCGCACAGTTTCCAAATATATTCAGATGCGGATGTCGACAGATTTTCTACTAAAAACTTATTAAAGGAGACCCAGTAATATGCAATATAGATAGTTTATGACGGACTATTAAGTTAAAGTACTCCGAAAATGGTATAAAGGACCAGTTAACACCCCTGAGCATATATTTTCAAATGAATTATTGACCCTAAAAACATTAGTTCAGATACCAAATTTGCTACATTATGGTGAAGCATTGCAGTATTATGTCTATTCGTAAATTGGGTTTTTCGGTTTCAGGTTGTTTTGCAGGGGTAGGGGGATCACGTGGCTAAGTGGGTAAGACGCTGGCTCGCTATTCTGGAGATCGGGTGTTCGATCCCTGCATTGGCCGAGAAAGTTCATCCAGATTTTCCGGCGTGGCTCCCCCTTGTCAGTGATGCTGGACCGAGGGCCTGACAAGGACAGCAGTCTAGTCGTTCGGGTGGAACGGAAAAACGAGGTCCCGTGTACACATTTGCGTGCACGTAAAAGATCCCTTGGCAGTTGGAATTCGATATAAGAGTAGGCCGTAGCGCCGCTGTCTGGGCAAAATTTCCCTCATAGCACACTGTATGGCGTATGCCCGTCTTCATTAGCCCAGGTTAGGAGCAGAACAGTAGGACGTTAAACATCATTTCATTTCATTTCTTTGTAGGGGTACACCTGAAAATGGTGTAAAGGACCAGTTAACACCACTGGGTATATCTACAAATAATAGAATGGCCAAATTTATGACGAAACAGTGCATTCTTATATGTGGGTTATACCCATTCATAATGTGGGTTCTCGGCTATAGATTATTAGGGTAGGGGTACTACCGAAAATAGTATAAGTGAGTATTTGACATCTATGAAAACCATTTCATGTCACAGATGACCCTGACAACCTATGGAAATATGTCAGTTTCATTTGTTTCTCTTTAAAATTTACGTCTTTTGACTTGTGTGACGTTTTACCTATTAAAATGGAAAATGACCGAAAAAAAAAGCATTTCCGGTACTCCCATTTTGGTAAATTTTTAGAATATCAGAAACCATCAAAACACCTTTTCTTACAATTAAATTTTAGGGGTTCTTCTTTGTTGAAAATCAAAGAAGGACATCGGAAAATATTATGTGTTAGTTTCAAAATGACCAAAGTATTGATTGTGATGACCTAAAAACCCATTCAATCCAACAATGGAACCACCAATTACAGAATGGTTATCAACAGAGTCGATGTCGAGGCACAACCAAGGCCCATTAGTCCCATCAGTATCGGGAAAAGTCAGCACGAGGTTCAGCAACAGCCTACTAGTCATTCATGCTTTATAGTGTAGTTCAGCTACGGGTGCCAGGGCTGTGGGGTTTTTTCTAGTGTTTGTCCTATCAAATAAGATGACCATTACTTTACTATTCGTTAAGTTACCCCGTGGTACATTATTTCACATTAAATTGAAGTTGAAATTTCGACTTTCCATTGTATCAAAACATAGGAATGAATATCAACATCATCTCAATCGATCCAGTGGCTAAAATTCTATGAAAGAAAAGTTGAAACTGACACTCTGACAGCCAACTTAGATAATGGCGGTCATTTTGAAAATGAAAGTGGCTAACGGGATTTTCTTAGTAAAAGACCCTAAATGGACACTCATAAAAATTGTATCTTTAATCAGATGGGTTTAAATCCCATTCCCCAAACCCTTTTGCTTATGATAATAAGCATATTTAGAAACAATGCTTTATGTATCCAGATATTTATGAATGTATTAAAAGAAAAACAAACAAAAAATGAAATAGTTTTTGAATTGTTTATTATTATACATAAATGGTAGCACCATGGGATGACAAATAAACATGATAACATGATAAAGACATATACAAATATAGACAACAAAGTATACATAGCATATATTGCTTACTAAATACACATACAATGATGATGAAATGCAGTGAGTACATTAATTAGTAGGACTATGATTATTTCTACTATGACCAGATGAAAATCTTTGGTTTGGATAGCGGACGGGGGAATTTATTCAATTAATGTTTTTCTACAGTTATACTGAAACACTGCCGATGAAGGATTAGTGCTTATAGTTCTACATTATTGTTTCTATTAAATGCACTCATTTCTTATCAAACATTTTGACATTTGACATACACAAGATAATAATAACAATAACAATATATACATAACATAGTGTAACTACAGCACTAAATAATAAATAGGCACTTTTTGATTAACATCACTCAACAATGTCACTGTCATTCATATCACGTGATCTTTCCTAAAGTACACGATTGGCTAATTAACCAGTGACGTCAACGATAGCACTTGTCACTCGTTAATGAAGGAATCGTCCTCACGTGATTGAAACAATCAACTAAAAAAACAAGAGTCCTCTCTCTTAATGACATGAGTTTATACTTTAATTGAGTCCTTTCTCAAATAACTGTCAAGTCATATCAACATATATATAAATGCTGAACACAGTTCACTGGATCACAATTTGATTACCAAACTTTCTCGTACAGGTAAGAAGTTGTCAGTGTTCCTGCCACGTTTTGTTGGTGTTTTTCGATCAACGAAATAGTTCATTTTTTTCACAAATTCATTCATCTTTCATTCATTCACTGGAATAACTTTAAATATCACTTTTGGAATTGGTTTACTATCTTCAAGCTGAAATTACAAAAACAAGGACAAATTTATTAATATGGTATTGTTGGGAAAAACAAGTTAAAATTATATGTTTTATATTTTATCTTTCAGATATAAATGAAAGTAAAGTAACTACTTACCACAATGTTTACAACATGGGTTGTCTTTCTTTTTAGGATCACTGCAGGATTTAGGACAGGTCATGGAACACTTCATGGAACCATTAGTACAGGTACACAGTGCACAACTGCTTAAAGCTGAGCTACCAGGCTGGAAAGTTTGACCATCATCATACTTCTTGCCGCCAAATACACATGCTGAAATAATAAAATAGGAATATTACATTTTTATCAAAATTCAATTGCCAGTATGGTAACAATCTATTGAACGATGTTTTATATATATGTACTGTATATTTTCGACTGAAGAAAAGAAATAGCGAGTTACCGTAAAACTATTACTAAAGAATTACTAGAATACTTACATCCACTTTTCTTTTCCTCACTGACTTCTGATAAGGGTTGTTCATCAGCACAAGCATCACAACAGGCGCCCTGTTTTCTAATCTTTCGGCTACAAGTAAGTTTAGGACATTGAGGTCGTTGACAAACAGGTGTTCCAGACTGAAAAAAAAGACAAGAAAAGTTAAATATGTTATTAAATATAAAGTTAATCTTATAAAAATTGATATTTTAATAATTGTTCAATTTAAATTTCGGGTATATAAAATAAAGATGCAATATGTATCCTTTTTTTTAAAATTCTTAATACTTACATTGCAGGTACAGTCGATGCATTTCATATAACCAAAAGGCATGACACGTGGATGCCATTTAGCTCCATTGGCGAAGATCTGTTCTTTAAATGTACAGGCACCTTTCATGTCAACATCTTGTAGTGGTTTTACGGCAGCTACTGGTTTCTTTTCTTCAGCTGAAATTTTACAGAATTAAAAAAATAAACATCATTCAATAGATACCCATAGAAATATGAAAGAATACACATTATTTGATACCCATGGAAATAATAAAGAATACACATGGTTTGATACCCGTAGAAATAATAAAGAACACACATGGTTTGATACCCGTAGAAATACTAAAGAATACACATGGTTTGATATCCATGGAAATACTAAAGAATACACATGGTTTGATATCCATGGAAATATTAAAGAGTACACCTGATTTGATACCCATGGATATACTAAAGAATACACATTGAGTGATTAGTTTTGAGTATACAATGATTTGAAACTTACGGGCACAAACTTGGCAACAATCAGTAGGGTTCAATCGGATTCGTCGGGATTTAGAACAGTCGAGTTTAGGACACTTTCGTTCACATTTCGATACACCACCAGGCTAAAATAAAAATAAAAAAATTTATCAATGGATTATTACACCAGATAACACATGATATTAAACGTATGTTAACTGCTATACAATTTCTTTGTTAACATTTACATGAGACAAAATGTGCCGTCGAAACATATATCCAAATATACCGTTGGTAATAATTATTATAATGATGTTTACTTACCATGCAAGTGCAAATGACACATTTAGCATAACCCATAAGAGGAAGGAACGGATGCCATGTAGAACCAACACGATGACGTCTCAGATCACCATCAAGCTTGCAGAAGAAGTCTTTGCTGGATTCAGAAGTTTCTTGGACACAAGTAGGACAACATTCACCATCAACAGTTATCTTGTTGGCACAGGCCAGGACAGGGCAGATCAAGGCATGACATTCAATCTTTCCTTTCTGTAAATATAATATGTTACATTAATCAAATGAAGCAGAAAAAACTTATATCTAACGATCAGCTAATCGACAATTCGATTGATTTTATTTATTTGTATTCTTAGGATTCTTTTATAGATTAGGCATATATTTTCTTTGTATATTCGACTTAAATTTACTTACGTTACAGCTACAGGTATTGCAGGTGGCGTTAACATCAGGTAACCAGCTATCACCATTCTCATAAACACTACCCTCATAAAAACATTTATAACGGTTAGCAGCAACCACTTCTTCTGATGTCTGTTCATCAACTAATATATCCATATCATAATCCTGGCTGTATTGCCAACAGGTATTAGGTACACTCACCTGAAAATATAAAGAAAATGTTTAATAAATAGAAATAGAAGAATCCGAGAACAATGGGATGGACAATGATTAATCTCCATTGATAACATATCTTGTTCATTACATCCTTTTAAATATAGTACACTCAAATCTCGGATAAATTAATTAAAACTTACGTTTCCAGCAAGGCGGGTTTTCCCAACAAGTACAACAAGCAGTGCGGTTCCATCATCAAGATCGTGGAAAAGGTCTTCAGGGATATCTGTAATACTTCCGATAGCGAGGCGTGATTCGAACAGTTTGGTGGAAGGAATCTTCTCAATGGTAACATAGGTATCTGGATCAGTGGGACTAACTAAGCTGATGGTGATGTCGTTCTGATTATCCTGGCTGGTGATGGTGATATCGTAATGCAGAGAACAACCAATTTCCATAGAGAACCAGGCATTACCAGCTTGACCAAAAGAGTCCGAAGACAAGGCACTGAGTGTAGCAGGAACAACTGAAAGGCAGGAAGAAATTAGAAATTTAAATTATGAAAATTGGTATTAGCTATTGCACAGATTGTTGCCCCGTGATGTTATTATTGTTATCCAGTCATTATGTAAATTGATATTTCATACCAATATATTGTAATAAAAACTTACCGGCTCCATTAGTGAAGTGTTGATGGTAGGGAAGGGCAATAACTCGACCTCTAAGTTCACTGATACGGTGTTTGGTAGTGGCGACGTTGAGAAACATTTTATTGTTGAGGAAAAGATGGAGATTATCAGCAGTCATTTTCTTGAAGGTACCATTAGACTGAAATAACAATTGATAATATTTTAAATTAATGATGCAATTCATATTTAACAATAATTGGAGGAGCTGGTGTATATTCTTCCTAGGGAGTAGTCTTCATATTTGGATCTGTTTACAATTTATAATATATTTAATATTGTGCTTACCCATCCATTGAAGGAGTTTTCATCAGCTTTAAAGTTCTTATGTACACTACCAATAATCTGTCGTCGGTTCTTTTTGTTAACTGCGCCCTCTAGTCGAATACGGTGAACTTTACTAGTAAGACCAGTCAATCTAATCTTGTACTCAACAGTTCCCTTTTCTCTCAATTCAAATATGGCGGTACCGGACGAACCCAATTTCACGTTTTCTAGAGAACTACCAGATGATAAGATGGTTTGGGAAACTAAAAAAAAATGAATAAAAAAATGTAAGAATTGTATCCCCGTGTACATGTACATTTCAGTTAAGTCGTTGATGGTTAATCGTCATTAATAAATGGTCGAAAATTTGCACTGATGCCAAAAAACCTGATTGGTACTGGTATTTTTCAAATTAATATTTCAAATGTACTTACCACCACAAGTAAGCTTTGGTCGGATATCACCACTGACACTGGCACCATTAGACGAAGTCAGGCGAAGATGAAGACGACCGCGTGCCAGTTGTTTAGATTGACGTTTGTTGCTAAGAGTCCAAGAACCCCGGATGAAACGAGTCTGAAATGACGAAAGAGAGAATTAATATGGCGTGATGGAGGTGGATGTGTTTATAATAATTGAAATAGGCTAATTTTGTTTATAAACGATGTCAGCTTGAAGGAAAGTTCACAGGTTGCTGGATATTTTCATCTTTAATAACTTATTATGTTTCTTTTATCTTGTTAATATATTTTAGACAGCTTACCTTTGAGTCGGCTTTACCGGTAGATTGGTGCAAGACTTTGCTCTTCTTACCAATAGTGACGAAATATTCCTCAGATGAGCCTAGAAGCAAATACCAGAATTTATTAATTGGTTGAAAAAAGGATCCTTTTTTATGGTTACTAAAATTTCAGGAATTTCAGGATATAAGTAATTTAGAGTAAATTCAGAGATTTAGAATTATACATACCTGGGAAAAGACCATCAAAAGTGATGACGTAATCAACAAGGTGGGTTCTGGGGTTGTAGATGACAGACAGAAGTCCACCAATACCGGCGGGTTTCGGTGACGCAAGCACAGAACTGAATACTTCTACAATAAAAGAAAAATAAATGTTAGTTTTTCACATTGTTACGAGAAACTGTTCACATAAAGCTTCGATATCCGCTAAGAAATAACTAATTTTAGCTACGACTTAGCAGCAACGTAACACGTCGATGCCATATTGACAAAGATGGCGGGTCTTTTGTGTCTTGTTGTCAGGCCAACCACAGAGATGAATTCAAGTTGCGTACTGTACAATAATTGGCGAGGTATCACGTTATGTGGTTTATGGGAGGAATGTGGGATATTTACTTCTTTTTAACTTAACACTATACTATACACGTCTTAGTCGTCGATGTTAACTGTTGCTTTTTAAATCTCGTCATCTCACGTGTCAGCCCACCACCCCCATTTATCAAAGAACAGATTAGTTTAACCCCAGTAATAAAAATCAACAAAGAGCAATTTGTAAACCGAATAGAAAGGTGCTAAGTTTGACTTCAGGTGGAAATAAGATACGAAAATATTTTTACAGAGCAGACGACATGTCGGTTATTGTGTTATTTTTCCCGCCCTTTCTCTACCAGACGATAAACATGTCAGATTCGCGTCTCAATTGTTAAAGTAAATGGGGAAATGGAGAAGTAAAAATTTGCACTTGCTCGTAATACGAGACGAATTAATTCACGGATGCTCGTAAAACACTAAAATCAACAAATACTAAATTAGCGACAAAACTTGAAAATTGCAAAATAAATTATGGAGTATACGTGAAAAGTTGAACCCCCGTGTGAAAAGGGGGAAATGTATAATGTATATTTGTTAAATATCAACATATCCTTATACATGTATATAGAATACAATAGAGGAGATCATTGCCGAATTCATTCAAGGACAATTGGAGATATAATGCAAGGCCTTTGTGGTCGCTGAATGAACCGAACGCTCGAGCCATATACTAAAGCAAAATAAATATAAGACGAAAGACGTTGGCTTACCTCTCTTGGCGTGACGGTTGACCATTAAACGACCAGATACCAAACCACTAGAGTAACGGGAAGAAGTGATGACCGCAAAAAGACGTTCTTTTCGGACAAACTGGACATAAGCAGCGGGAACCTTGGACCAAATACCACAGAATCTCTTATCACCATTTCGTCGTTTCTCGATGGGTCGTTCAAATAACACGTTACCATTAGCATCAGTGATCTGTAAAAACTTTGGACGATCTAATCTGAAATGATAGGTTAAAATAATTTTTAATAATGGGGTTTTGAACAGCAGAGCCTTCTTAATATTTCATTTTGTATCGTTTTTCTGAAACAAAATCAATGGGATTAATTTTTATCAGTTTCTATAATTAAAGCAACTTACTTATGATAACGAACAGAATATCTGATTTCATCATTACTAATAACAGACAGGTAAACAGCGGCTACGGCGGAAGTCTCGACACCCTCGCGTCTCACGTTCTTACCAACCAAGAGGGCAACAAACTCTGTTCTAGCTCGTCGTTTACTATCGGAACTGATCATCGTGGCCACTTGCTTGCTCAAACCAAGGGTGAACTTATCTTCAAAACTCTTCACTACAAAAAAAACAACATAATGCAAAAATTAAAATAGGCATTAAAAATGGATAAAAGAGGTGGAATAATGCTTTCCTTGTTAAAGGAACCGAGTAGTTCCGAATGGTTATTGGCTTTGAACCAAAGATAACGTCTTGGAACAGACGGGTTAAAAGAACTATATTTATCTAATAATGGCATTTTAAGTTTCCCAGAAAGTCATGAACCTGATCAATTACCTACATTAATGATGTTGTTAGCACGTGTCGTATATATATAGCAAGTATATAATAGTAATAAACACATATATACACAATTCTTTTAACCTGTACACCGTCTCGTCAAAATGGCGCCAAAAATGTTGATAAATAGCACGATAATTATTAGAAGATAATTCAAATCTGTGACGTCAAAAGTGGGAACAAAGGTTTTAGAGGGTGGGGCTATGGTCTGCTCTGATTCTAATTGCCACGAGGTATTTTATCGTAAAAATATTTAATTTTACAAATTTTAATTGCTAAGAGGTATGCTATCAGCATATGTTACATCTTTCTATAGTGTTTGTGAGAAAGGGCAATTTTATCTGAGTATGAATCTGTGTGTAAAAATATTCTAGTTATTTCTATTCGCTACACTAGATACAAGCGGGATTTACGTTAGTTATCGCCTTGATTAACCGATGAAATTTGTCGTACGTACAAGATTCTAAAAGAAATCTCTATGAATACAAATTTGTTTTTTTTTCTGTAGCTTATATATATAGATATGTTGTATCCGATAAAAGGGGAAGCTCAAGTTAAAAACTGAGTATAACGACAATGATTTGGTATGCGCGAGACGAAAAGGTGTAAAGTAAAGGCAAGATTGGTAAGCAAATAGCAGAACATCTTAAAGCAGGTATAATAGCTGCTATTCAAAGCCTATATAGTTACCTTTACCAGGCATAGGGGTTGAAGGAGCCTCTTAAGCATGGTTAGACTATATTCAACCCCGAACAATTAGCAAATATCGAATAATACCAAGTCCTGATTATCCAGACTAATCGCTATTTAATAAGCCATGCCTCATTGAACATGTTATACTGGCTACTCGAGACTCTGTCAATATAATATTCACACCCCTGGGCGCATTGATATTGTTCGTTTAACACTTTTCGTTTCGAGGGGTTTTTCGGTGCCTTATCTTTGCACCAGTGGGTGGTCGTTATATTCATGCATTCATTGTGACAGGATGTGGCTTAATCCGTTTCGTTAATTCTACCATTGTAAAAAGTTAACAGCCGATAAAACAAACCATTTATCGACAAATAGTGCTTTAATATAATGGTAGAGTGGTCTGATCCAGTATTTTTCGCACTTTTATAAGAACTGAATAATTTCTTGTTTAATTTTGAATGCTTACCTTCATCGGGACAAACTTTACAACATTTACCCTTTGGAAGAACTGGGCTAACACAGTTGGGACGGGGGCACAAGTCTTTAATATTCTTACACCTAGTCTGACCTTTCATATCAATGATCCCTTTACGTTCAACCTGAAATAAAATACACCCAATTAACACCAGAATACCATAACATCAACACTTGATATCTTAATTAACAATGAAACTTGTTAATAAAATTTAATCAAAGACAGTTCACGTGTCAGAATTTGATGTCCAATTTGTTTTGGGCGATGTTGAGATAATAGTTCGTTAAACTACAGCGGTTACATGACCCAATGATCTTTATAAATAAATTATAATAAATGGGAGTATAAGTAATTTGTTAAGACAGTGTTGTATGTAACCCTGTAGGTTGTTGCCATATTTGTATATGTCGTATCACGAACATAAAAACCCAACCTAGTCTATAAGAAGGTTGTTTAATTAAACACAGAAGCTGGAGATACGAGACTTAACGGGAAGATGCTAAACACCCACAGACTCATTTAAACATCGAATAGACCGACAAGTCACTCTACAGTTATCCCTCTATTTTCCCCTGTGAAGTTGGTCTGCATTGCAAATAGAAGACGTCCGTATTTAGAACCCTCCTTGTCTAAAGAATAACACAAAATATAGAAATAAACACACAAACACCTGCATGGCGATTAAATTTGATAAATCTCCAGGGATGGTATCGGAGTATCAAATATAATATCCAAGATATATAGCAATATTTAGATGAAAAGCGCATACCGATATAATGCTGTTCATTGGAGCAGATATAGTTAATGTATATTTAAATCAAACTATCAAATGATGATTGTGACGACAAGAATAATACCCAGTCGTATCATAGTCAATAATCAAAAAGCCTTTCTTTGACTTGAACGATAGTAAAGGTAATATTTATCATAGCTATGATATATAAAGGGCGTGTGAATGAATTAAATAGACTGTCTATACGATCAGTGAAAGTGTGTCGATATTTTCTCTATAAAATGTATGTACACATGTATTATAAATTTGACTTACTGGCACGCATTCACACTTTACACAAAACATCTCGCCAACAGGTAGAATAGATGGGGTCCATTTCTCACCAATATCATAAAACTTACCGCCCAAAATACAACCTGAAGTAAACAAAAACATAAAATTTTGTTATTCAACATTATATGCCTCACAAATATATTACAGTTAACTGAATTTTAACTGCTGATCAAAATAACCAATAAATTATATGTCAATCAATTATCTAAAAATTGATAGTATTATTAAAGCCAGCCATTGGTGTAAAATAAACTATATTATTACATACCAGGTCTGTTCGGTTGAATTCCATTTAAGTTTTCTTTCACTGGTTTCAAGGGAATCTTTCTTAACTTTGCATCGGAAACGTAGACGGAGAGAACCAGAAGAAAAACAGCTAAATCCATACTAGAAAACACCGACATTATCACTTAGCTCACGGAGAGCACCCGTCTAGGGTAACACTTAATAGTACACTAAAATTACTAGATTCCAAGATAGATATACACTGCACACAAGCACCTGTTGTCACGTGATTACAATTCACAGATGATGTCAAGAATTTAGCAATGAGTTAAAGGAATAACGGAATGGTATTTCTAGTAGTTGACAAGGTGAAAGAAGCTCAATGAATGATGATCACTGAGATTTTTGCTCACTACTTATACTCAATTTCAGCCGTGAAACCACAAACTTCTTCTAACAATACAATCAAGGGATTAACAGTCGGTCCACCTTGGGAAGGGTTTCATCCTACCTGCTTTCTTAATTGATCTTTACCGCTAAGTTGTTACAACGACGTATTCTTCCGATCAGTCGGCCAATGGCTTCATTGATACAATGACGGTACATACAACACTATCTTTGAAGTTCATATTAACGTGTTGTGATTGGTGGAAAACCTGTGGTATACGAGAAATAGTTTTATACCAATGTAAACGATATTGTTATAATGACAATTTAATAGACGTTTTATTTTCTAACACCGAAAAAAAAGTTGTAAGAAGTTTTTGTATTTCATAGCGATCATATCTATTTGTATTTTTACTATTCGGTGGATTTGATATGGAAAGTTATTTCAAATATGTTCTAATTATAGATATAAATACATATGATATAAAACTTAAAAATATATTTATTTGTGTGCGTTTCTGTGTTTAAAAAAAAAATGCATGAATTTGTAATTTATCATTTCTCATTCGAAAAAAAAAGAAAAATAAATATTGTGCATAATCATTTTGCCTAATACGGTTTTTTCAATGAATTTGTGTATCATAAATATATTTTAGATCTGTTGTTTTCACTGAACAATATTAGATTAATAATATTGTATTTGCATATTTCGCCCTAGATCAGGCCTAGAACATAGTAAATATATATACATATTTTGCCCTAGATAAGGTCTAGATCATAATAAACATATATTCATATATATGAAGATAAAGCACTGAATTATCTATAGAATGTTGTTTATAATAAATATAATAATAGTATATCGGTTTGTCAGACTTAACCGGGATATATTGAACAGTACAAAATACACCTTTCTCTGAAGTTTCATATGCTTTTACTTTATCATAAACGAAGCGCGATAAATAATACATGCCAATTAAAATTATTGTTATACATGTAGATTATTCAGGATTTCGTATTCAACGGGAAAGATTTAGCAAATACAAATATAGGTGCATATTTTTTTGACTTGACTGTACTAATAATATTTCATATGTGACCTTTAAATTACAAAGCTGACAGCCATAGAACATAAAGGGCGATATTAAATCTTAAATGCCCAAACATTAAGAAATTAAGCATCTTTACAGTAGAAATTGAATATTGGTACTTATGTTATAGTTTTTAGTATATACGAATTAACGGTATTGCACTATGTATCAATATCCTATTGAAGAATTGCAGGTTGAACAGGTAAATATATAGTATATCTATACCAGTAAACAAATAGTAATGTATCTATTTATTAAGAGTTTTTCCGACTTGTATGTTTTTGTACGGGTATTAATTTGGAGCCGTTCTGAATGTTCACTAAAACGGAACGAAAGGCTAAACATATAATTGTCAAACTGTACAAAAGTTACGCGAATTTTTTAGTCAATTTATTTATTCAAGATGTCTAGTTGAAATAATTGCCATTAATCTGAAAAGAGGCGTCAATGTAGGGTTTTAAATTCCTCGTTTCAAAATTGACTACATGTTATTACTTCAGTGTGGGAAATCTCGAGCGATGTTTTAATATCGATGCTATAATTGTATTTAACTATTTACATCCCAATTTGATCATTATAATATTTGATTTCTACTTTTGATTGATTTCTTATTTGTTATTGTTTAAAATTGCAACTATAAAATTTATAATTGAATAAGTGCAAGCAATTGAGATAAAGTGTTTCCCAACTATTTAAAGTTTATTTTCAAAGATAATTGCGTTATTTTTATTCATTTTAAACTTTATTGTTAAAAACTAAAAATGATAAAAGTTTAGATATACATTAATTTACATATTTAAAAAAATCATATATTCTCTTCCAGTTTTCTGAAGGAAGATACCGACGAAAGTTCTTTGTGGGGCTTCCAATTAAGAAAATCATCTTAGATAAACAACAATTACAAGTAATTAGTTTGACGATGATCTTAATTACCGCGATCAGCGGAGAGCCGAAATTAATCACAGTATCTACTTATGAAAACAAATTGGGTTTCTTCCCTCCGTAATTAATTTGGAGGAAAAAATATGGATTAATGAAAGAGAAATGATTTTAATAAATGTATATTTTAGCATGTCTATTTGCTTCATTAAAAATGTACAGTACTAGTGAAAGAAAAAACATGACAAAAAGTATATTGAGTAATATGTAGTCGAGACAAATTCATTATCCTTATAATTTGTCTGTCATTTCTAAAACTCTTTATGAACCTCGTCAAAATTAAAAAAATGTGTGAAACCGACCAGAAATTGAACAACCACAAAACTGATAAAAATCTGCGATAAAATGGAGGTCTAATTATACATAATACTACTACATCGCGCTCAATATTATCACGGTTTCTATACATGTAAAATATCTTTGTTCAAATTCGTTACATGTACCGTTTTTATGTAGGGAAATCATCATTTTAATCTTATCGTTTTTAATATAAATTTGTCGACCACACACATCTATGAAGGTAATGTTGTCAATGAGACATACCGCTTACAATTAAAAAGTATTCGATATAATACTTTTTTAATACAATAAAAACAATTCCAAGACATATCATTAATTGAGATAGTGCTATATGTGCTATTGCAATTTCTAAAGAATAAATAACATTAAATCCATATATTATAATCAAGCTAGTCCATATAAAGATTATCTTCGATTATATGCAATTTTAATGTAGTATAATATGGATATTTCGTCTGTACAATTCGATTACCAATAAACGTATTAAAACAATATTCTGTGAATAAGCATGAATTCAAATCTTTTGCTTGAAGAATATTTATCCTTTTACTTTCATTTACTATAGAAGAATGGACATATTGTAAATTGTTACAATGACATTAGTAATTGAATCTGAAATACACAAAACACAATTCTATGGAATACATGTAAAATTAATGTTTGTCACTGAGCAACATTTCGACTATAGAATTCTCTACTTTTTAAATTATATTTCGGCTTTATAAAGCAATGATATAACGTCACCCAAACAGTAATTCCTCAGAATGGTTTCCCTGAATGTATAGTAATATAGTCGACTTTGAAGTCTGCGACGCATCGTTAATATTCTTTCTATAAAAGAGAGAGAAATGGGGTTTAAGGTCCACTCGACACAAACTAAGTCATTTCGGGACTAACATATGGTTTAATTTTATTTCAATAATTCGCTTGTGCGTAGGGGTCTTTAGCAGTGGGAAAAAATCGGAGGACCCGGATAAAACCCACGAGGTTGGACAGGTAACCCTACTCCTTGTCACGTACAACCAGGGATTCGAAACCCCGCCTGTTGACTCAATGACAGGCCTTATGATACAGCACACACGTGCTAACCATTCGGCCATCCAACCCACCTTTCTATAAAAGAAATGTCTCTTTATATGTTTTGTATTAGGATTTTTTCCATTTATATCTTTATCATAATTTATATCGACATTTAAACATATGATTAAAAATATTAGGCTAACATATGGGATTTTTGTATGCAAGATACCCAAACCATTAATGTGTTTTTTCTTATTCAAGATACCAAATATAATAACTGGAACACGTGTGCCGTTCACCTTTGAAGAAAAATTCTTAAGATATACGCAAAATAATAACGAATATTTAGGATCGACTTGTACTATATTATATTTTAATTTTCTCTGTATTAGTAATATGTATCATTATATAAAAATTAAAAAAGGAAAATGCATGGCTATATATATTAAATTTTATATGGGTTGTAGTGAACTAAAAAAAAAATCAAAATTCAATGGAACATCATTCATAAATGCTTCTAATTTTATTAAGAGAATAACATTTGTTGGTTCAGTTATGGTTTCGACATTTTTTATAAAATCTACCTATTTACAGTTTAAACATGTATCCATCGGGATCATTTCACGGCCATGGCTTCATCATTAACTAATGATAGAATCTGAATGGTTTCCCCCTTTCGGTAATTGCTTTGATGATGTCCTCAATCCCAATGAAAACAGAATTCGGATATCAAAGGTGAAGAAAAGTGTTGTTTTCATAAGAAAATGACCAAGATAGATCTTAATTGATTTCAAATTAATGGCCAATTTAACCGCCATTGGTTTGGTTTCATATGTTACCTGTTCAGTCGTAAATGTTGTTACTGCGCTATTGGTTTAGTTTCATATATGTAACCGATTCAGTCGTAAATGGTGTTATTGCAGAAGTTTGTAGTTTTATTGGTCTCATGATAAATTTATTTAAGAAACTGACCCGTGGTCATGCATCATATATCTATGACGTCAGTATGACTTGAAGTTGGTTTTAAAGTAGCTAAGTCTCTAACTCAATATCATCCAAAATCTTCGACATTGAAAACACGAATTTTTTGTCAATTTAAATCAACATTGATGTGATTTTACGGGGAAAAGATGGGCTTCTGATATCCAATAATTAAGACAAAGTAAAATTTTTACCGTTGGTAATCGTGTACCGTGGTGCATTTCAGTGCCTTTTTCACATTGATGTTGTGATCTTACGGGGAAAAGATGGGCTTCTGATATCCAATAATTAAGACAAAATAAATTTTTTACCGTTGGTAATCGTATACCATGGTGCATTTCAGTGCCATTTTTCACAAGGGACTCGTAGAAAGAGGCTATATATATTCCACAAGTCATGTCAAACGGTGACGCCATATTCTTATCTGGAGAGCATGCGCAATAAATACTATCGATTGAGACTTCTGGCGTATTTCGCCGAACATAACTGGTTAGAAATTACAGTAAAAACAGAAACGATTGAATGTAAATCAGTTTATATACATTCACATTACATTATTATATGCGTTGCGACCCATTTGTGTCAATTTCTAGATCCAAAATATTAGCGATTTAGCCCCTTTAAACAGTACCACTCTCTCCATTTGCCAGTATCTACATAATTTTTCAAGCATATTTACTGGCGTTTTCAGCAGTGACATTTTAATTTCTTTATATTTCAGAAGTCTCTTTCCAATCCCTTATACGAAATCAAACTGAATGGCAATTTATAAACTTTGAATTGAATTTTCTCTCCTTTCTGCAAAAATAATACTACAGAAATGAAATAAAATGGGGTTTAACGCCATACTGTTCTGCTCCGACTGGG